GTTTGTTGATATACTTGTGAAAATCCAGAGGATTTCATTTAGTCTATGTGCTATCTTAGGAAAATGGATAAATTGGTGATCTTTCCTCCTTTGGAACCTAGCCCTCCCTCCCTAGGCACTTCACTGTCATTAGTATCTTCCCAAGTCCTCCACACAATAAGAAGGAACTGTCTATGGAATTGTGAAATGGTGGGCAATTCTGAGGTTCCTGATAATCTCAACTATGACTATTCTCACGACAGAAGAAAGTTCACATGAATACTCTCTAAAAATCGTCGTTGTCTGTTCTTTCTTGGATTAATACATATTGTCTAGATTTTTCCCGTTTCCTGTGTCCCTCAGGAAGGTAGAAACCTAGTTTCTTTTGATCTTGGTCACCCATGGCTGTGTTCTTTACTTACCTGAGGGAAGAGAGATAAGCTGTTGTTTGACCACTGTTCAAACGCTTATGAAAAAGAAACTGTTCTTTCTCTACTGGATCATTAATAACAGTCCTTTGGGTGTTAGGTGAATTCCAGGAAGCTGAGGCATTGCATTGGAACAACAGCTCTGGTTCTTTCTCTTTTTTCTTTCCCCTTATCACACAGGAAATCTGTTTATAGAGATCTCAGTGATCCAACTCTGCTCTTCACCATCTACCTCAGACCTATTCAAAAAGTTATGTGGAAAAAATTTGAATGTCAATGAAATTATGTTTTTATTTGTCCCATGTGAAGAATAGATCTACATGTTAAATATTTTAGTTTGTGTCTGTATGCAAGTCTATGATGTATGGTGGGGGGCATACATTCCATGGCAAATAAGTGGAGGTCAGAGGACAACCTTGTGGAGTCAGTTTTCTCCTTCCACCTATATGTGGGTTCAGGGATTGAATTTTTGGTTGCCAGACTTGCAGGTCAAGTACCTTTACTCTCTGAGTCACTTTACCAGTCCTAAATCTGTTTTGTTTTGTTTTTTTCATTTTGTTTTGTTTTGTTTTAAACATTTTTAAATTTTTATTTATTTTTTTAATTTTTGTTTTTTAAGTATTTTGCAATTTATTAAAATAAGAGTACCAGCACCTCTCTTTTCGATATAAAAACAAAAAGCAATGCATAGATACATAACCAAATTCTTCCATCTTCTGGACCATTTCCCAGCAGTTAAAAATGCAATGTGGGGATTCTTTTGTAATTTATGTTTAAGTTCAAATTCACAGGACTACTGATAAGTTAGCAGTTACACAGATGAGAAAAAAATATCTCAGCAGGCAGAATCTTTTTCTTCCTCTCTCCTTAATTTCTTCCTTTACATGCTGAAACAGAACTTCAGTACTTACAGAGAGATTTTCCAGGCCATTCCAGGTGAGTTGACTGGATAAATGGTAGGACAGAGGAACACCCACTGACACAGAGAGGGAGAAAAGCTTTTTTCTAAGACAGCTCAATCTGTTTGCATAGCTCAGTGCTTCTCCTGGGACAGGCTTTCCAGCAGGGTCACAGAGAAGCTGGCAAGGGGTTAGGAGATTGTGCCCAAAGGCTACCTCCTGCAGCTGCTTGATGGTCTCATCTCCAAAGACAGGTAGCCTGAACTGAACTGTTACTAGCTCCCTTCCCTAGCTCTGGATTTGCAAACTGATGAGATGCCAGGCAAGAGATTTGATTCTGATTCCTGAACTGTAAGCTATAGTATGTTTATAGTAAAAGGAGACATTAACGCTTTATTAAAATATTTTTTAAATTTATTTAATAACCACAGGATGAAAAGAAGCATTCCTTTACAGCTTTAACATATTCAATAACAATTTCCAGAGCAAAGATACATCTCTTTCAAAAGTGGCTGTAAAATTTTAGGTTCACAGTTGAATTAATACAGTTATACAATATTGAACTGAGTATAAACCCTGTAACATAAAATTGAATTAAAGGTTTTTAATTTTTTAAAAAAGATCTCCATTTTAAAATAGACTGTTTCCTACAGAAAGACTCTTTTTTTTTTGGTCTTTTTGAGACAGGGTCTCCTTGTAGCCCCAGCTATCCTGGAACTCACTATATAGACCAGGTTGGCCTTGAACTCACAAAGCCCCCCCTGCCTCTGCCTCCCAAGTGCTGGGATTAAAGGCGTGTGACACCATGCCCGGCCCAAGATCACCCTTCAGTGCAGCTCATAGAACCACAATATAATTAGCAAATTCAAGAAACTTAATTTTTTAAATTATATTTATTTTATTTTATGTGTATGAGTGTGTTGTCTGCATGTAAGTGTACCTGTGCCATGTAATGCCTGCAGAGGTTAGAACAGAACATTGGAACCCCTGGGACTGGAGTTAGACAGTTGTTAGCTGCCATGTGGGTGCTGGGATACGAACCCAGGTCTTCTGCAAGAACAACCAGTGTTCTTAACCACTGAGCCATCTCTCCAGCCCCGATCTGTTCTTTTTTAAACAAACGGCAACTATAACATCAAGACCACACCATTCATCAGTAGATGAATGGTTAATTAATGAAAATGTAGTACATATACACAGTGAAATTTTATTCAACTGTACAGAAAAATGAAATTATGAAATTTAAAAGTAAATGAATGGAATTGGAAATATATATGTTTTGAGCAAAGTAACCCAGGCCTAGAAAGACAAACACTCTTTTATGTGGAGCACAGCTTTGAATCTTTAGATTCCTGTGTTTAACTTGGAATACCTACAGGAGCCAGGAAACAGGTGGAAGAGATAGCTTATTGGTTAAGAGTACACATACACTACTCTTGCAGAGGACCAGAGTTTAGTTTTCAGCACCCAGGTCACAACTTGAGCAAAGTAACCCAGGCCTAGAAAGACAAACACTCTTTTATGTGGAGCACAGCTTTGAATCTTTAGATTCCTGTGTTTAACTTGGAATACCTACAGGAGCCAGGAAACAGGTGGAAGAGATAGCTTATTGGTTAAGAGTACACACACACTGCTCTTGCAGAGGACCAGAGTTTAGTTTTCAGCACCCAGGTCACAACCGCCTGTAACTAGAACACCAAGAGAGTCAACAAACTCTTCTAAGTTATAAGGACACCTGTACTCATGTGAACACACACATACACCACACACACACACACATACACACCACACAATTAGAAATAAAATAAATCTTTAACAAAAGAAGCTAGAACTGCAAAAGGGTCATAAGGGTGGGAAATGCCTCAAGGGTTGGAAAATAGAAGGACATGGGTGATATGAAATCACAGAGGGGGAATGCTGGGGAGGAGAGATTATAGCAGTAATAAGAGTAAGGGAATAGGAGACGGGAGGGGAGAAGGAGGAAGAATTAACCAAAATGAAGGGTTCAAGAAAAAGCCATATGGAAACCTACCACTTTGTAAGTGAACTTAAAAACAAAAGTTATAGGGCTGGAGAGATGGCAGTGTTAAGAACACTGGCTGTTCTTGCAGAAGACCTGGGTTTGAATCCCAGCACCCACATGGCAGCTAACAACTGTCCATAACTCCAGTTCCGGGGATCCAACAGCCTCTTCTCTCCTCCAAGGACATTGCGTGACATGGGTGCACTTTAAAAAAGTTAGCGTCTTTATTTGTTCTCCATTTTCAAACCTTATGTAAGATCAAAATTTTACCATATAAAAAGTTATGCAGGCCCTGGAGAGATGGCTCAGTGGTTAAGAACACTGGCTGCTCCTGCAGAAGATTCTGGCTCTGTTCTCAGCAATTATATGGTAGCTAGCGACAGTCTGTAACTCCAGCTCCACAGGATCCGACGCCCTCTTCTGGTTTCCACAGGCCATGGCATGGGTGCACTTACATACATGCAGACAACACACTCATACACATAAAAATAATAAATAAAATATTTTTAAAAAAATAAAAGCAAAAATTAGAAGGATAATCTGCATGGCTAAATAATGCTGCACCTGGTAGTCATGAGTCATTAAACAAAAGTCTCGGTGCCATGTTTTGGCCACCTCCTTATTGGTCAAGAAGACTCTAGGGGTGCCCAAAACAATACATACTTTTGCCATTCCTCTTGATTACGACCAAAACTAAGTAAGACCATATCACTGAAGACACAACACACCTTCCTTACAAGACAGGCAGAAATCAACCTGGAAATGAACTGGAAGCTTCTTCCCTGATGGCCAGTTTTCATAGTGTCAGAAGGGAAAATGCAGGCTGTTGGGAGAAAAAAAGCATCAAAGGCTTACCTACCTGAGAACCCTATAAATTACAACACTCACCTGCCAGGTAAGCTGTGACACTGATGCAACAGTGGCATGGCTGTTATAGAGGCAACCAAAAACCCTCTGGTTTTGAGGCCCACTCCACAAGAAGGAACTTGTGACTTAGACTATAAACCCAGTTAAAATCCACTGACTAAGGAGCTTTTAGGCTCTAGGTAGGGATCTTACTAAAGCTAATTTACAAAACACCAAGCTATCTTCTAATTCTTATGCTCATATGCATAGACAATGTTACTCTCAGTCTTAATCTGAGAAACTTCCCTGCAATGAACAGTGGTAAATGCAGATTTGTATCTTGTATGGCTGCTCAAGGTGCTGAGAATGTGATGATCGAGTGCTCAGCCCTAAACAGGACATTCATACTGCCTCCTCTATGGTTCAGGGAACACCACAGAAGAGTGGGCAGAAAGAACATAAGAACCAAAAGATGGAGTAGAGTTATAAAATGTTGTCTTCTGGCCATGACAGTGAATGGAATCATGATCTCATAGCAGCTGTGGATTCCAGCAAAGAGCTTTCAACAGACTGCCTCTGCTCATAGTCAGTCATAGATGGAATGGTCCATGTGATCGTACATTTCCCTGATGGATTCTAGGGGAAGGGCAACATTGACTTCAAGTTGTGTCCCCACTGATGAGCTTACCATGCTCTGATGGATAGTTCAAACACATGGTCTCACAGGTGGCCTTGATTAAATTTAGTAGATTACAAAGAAAAAGAAAAAGTCATGAAAGTTGGAATAAGACTTGTAGGGAGGGGGTCAAAGGTGATAATGGTAGCATGGCGATTAGAGAGGGTGAGAGTAATTAGTATGTACTCTTTATATATGTCTATATATGAAAATGCATACATATATAAATTTTTAAATTTAGCAATATCTATTCCTTTATCTACTTATTTTTATGTTTTACATTTATTTATGCATTTGTGGGAGTAGGGACATTTGTGTACCATGGCACATGTGTGGAAGTCAGCTTGCAAGAATCTATTCTCTCCCTCTACAATATGGATTCTGATGATTGGACTCAAGTCTTCCAGCTTGGCAGAAAGTACCTTTAACCCACTGAGTCATCTTGCTGGTCCCCTAGATCTATTTTTTGAATATGTGAAAACTGTGCCAAAGACAGATGGACACATTTGTTTCTTTCCACAATATAAGAATTTATTGAAAAACAGTAAATTCATAAGCTACATTAGTTTTACTGATTTTAGTTCACCAAGTCCTAATTTCACCTGGCTAATAAAAAGAATCACACTTTCTCTTATTCCAGTCTTAATTACTAACTAACCTTATTCTATGTCTTCTGCTAGTTTCCCTTAGCAAACAGTAGTAAAAGTGTAGCTTAGTCTGTTTTCATTGCTGAGAATTGAGGTGAGGGACTACACCAAGCCTTAGGGCAATTTAACGTGGGAGAGAAACAGCCACTGGAAGGAAGTGTGTTGCATTAGGGCACAATGTACTCGACAGCAAACTGAGTAGTGGTCTAAATCAGTTGTATGGATCCATGCTAATCATGAGATTATTGCATGACAAAAGATCTGTCTGGCAGCGCCAAACAGGGGGAAGACAGATTCACCCCCAGGGAACTCTTCCACTGGGATGAGCTTCCTAGTACAGCCTAGTGTCACTGTTCACTTATTAAACACTGATGTGCACACATATGTACCTGCATGCTAAAACACAGCACAGCAATGGCTCCTCTGCTTTTTGTATTCACTGAGACATGTCTCACTTTTCTTCTCCTTCCTGCCCTGAAATTTGGCATGTTCTTCTGCATCTTAAGCTGCTTTCTCTTTTCTGTTGAGCATTTCCCACTTTCCCTTCTAAAAATTCCATATTTAACTCTTTGCTAGATGGCAATCCTTGAATAAGGAGAGATTCTTTTTCTTTTTGCTGCCAGAGATCACTCCCTTGCCTAATGACATATCTGTGATATTGTTATACCCCTTCTCCCTAATCAGAAATTTCCTCTTCTGGTATAAACAATATGGTATCCTCATTCCTTTTTGATTTTCAAAGCCAATTTTACATTTATACATGAGACCCTGGGCTCAGCTGACCTGTATCCTCATTTTTTGCTCTTGTATATTCTCTCAGCTTTAATGGTGTAGCTCACTCTGAACCCTGCTCATCTACCCCTGGTCTATCTGGTGTAATTTCCCAGTATGATACACTAAAAAGACCACAGAGCTGGGCATCATTAATCCTGAGTGGTAGGACAGGAATAAATCAGATCCAGGACTTCCCTAGCCAGGCTCTCTTCCCCCAAGTTGCCAAGAAAAGAAATTGCAGAGCTACTGGTTTCCCTAGGAGCCAGGTTTGATTTTCAATGACCTCCATGGTATCCACCACTTAACTCCTGTCCAGGAAGCCCAGCCTCACAGATGTATAAATAGGCACCCTTGAAACTTCCTGCCCTAACCTGAAACTTTATGCCTCCAAAATGGGAAAACCCCTTCTATTGGGACAGCTCATCCTGTTCTGCTATCTGAGGGTTGAGTCCTGAGAGTCAGTAGTCGGTGAGCTGTGTCCAGGATTCTGGAATGGGTGAAAACTTCCCTCTGTGGCATCCTAGGAGGAAGAGTTACCCCTCCATGCCATGCCTTCCACGCACACTATGTCAGGTCCGTGGAACTTTAAACATAGCTTTTCCCTTCCCTCATAGGAGGAAGTAAATGGGTTGCTGAATCATTGAGAGGATTTTCCTAGAAGCTGTGAGACAGGGTTGGAAAAGGAGTTGTACAGAAAGTATAATTGTTTTTGTTTCTTCAACAGTACTATCTGGGTCACTTTCACACGATCTTAAATGTGAGTAGAAATGGATGCTAAAAACAAATGAGAAGACAGTGGGAGAAGCAGGAATGAGGCAGCTGGGTAGGCACTGGGGGTTAAACGTCAACCAGAAATAGAACCTGAATTTCAGTATTCAGTAGCCTCTTCTGGAAGGATGCAGCAAGGATTGAGGAAGAGTTCTTAGGATTCACAAAGAGCTTTAACAGCAACTGAGAAGGCTATGGGCAAGAGAAGGGACTGTAAAAATGCATGTGGAACTCCCAGAAAGTACCTGGCCAAGTCAAGTGTAGCAACTCCATGAATTCCAGATGCTTTCTCATTGTTAGATCTCAGGTGAGAGCATCACAAATGCTCAACTAAGAGGAAGAAAATGAGGCAAAAAAACTTACTGTGCATTTATCCCCTTCCACCTGTTCTGTGCTGTACCTTTAAGGGTAGGCAGGGGTCTGAGGGACCCTAAAGATGTGAAGAGAATAGGAGAAAGCAGAAGAGGCCATAAGCAGCTTGGGGAACAGAAAGAACCTAACCCATCTCCAAGCTAGGAGGCAGAATGAGCCCTCAAGACAGACTGCAAGGGGAGGTATGAATCGCAGACAAAATTGCACGCTTGTTTTCTTTCTCTTGCCTGTATAGCCGACCAAGTAATCATGAATGAAAATAACAACGGTGAGTAGAAAGAGGCCCTCACTAACAATCTTGGTGCTTGGCACTTGTTTTAACCATCCACCTTTCTATCCTTGCCCATCTTTCAAGCTAAGGCTCCTGAGACCATGGAGTCCAGTCATTCCCTGGCTTAGGTCATCTTAACACAGGGCGATGCCCAAGCTTCAGTGGTGTGTGGGGCCCTCTGGAAAAGCCCTACAGCTCTAAGCAGGCTTCAAACTATAAAGGGGAGAGAGGCTCTTTCATGCTCATGTCATCTCTCAATTTTCTCTTCAAGTTGTAGAAATTGTGCAGTGTAGGATGTGCCATCTCCAGTTTCCTGGAGAAAAGTGTTCTAGAGGACGAGGAATATGTACCGCAACATCAGAAGAGGCCTGTATGGTTGGAAGGATGTTCAGAAGTAAGTTGTTAAGGGAAAATTGGGAGAAGTGGGACACAGGGGCCATGGTGGTGATCAAGGGAACTTGTTTAATAACAGGCAGCCCCCCTGAAGATATTATCCATAAAAAGCACTGTGATGAATGGAAATGGAGGTGGTTATTGAGTAGGAGTATATAGCTGAGGCAGCAGTACATTCAGAAGCCCAAGGAGCACAGTGGATGCAGAATGCAGGGGAGAGGAGAGTTATAAAACCCACTCTCTGGAAAGCAGCTAGTTAAAGAAAATAGCTGTGTACCTACCTTGGCTTTGGCATAAATGGCTCCAAGCTGTGGAAGCAGAGGGGACAGTGCTTCAACATGCACTGGCTATGTTTCCTTGATGAATAAGAATCGACACATTTCTCTAGTTTCCTCTTCTCAGCACTACCCAGTCCTTGAGATTCTCAATGGATACACTCAGCTTTGTTATTCCCTGGACTCATACCTACTTAATGCCAATAAAATTTTCAAACTAGTCCATCATTGCTTTTCTTTTGGATAGTCCCCAACATTCAGTATCTTGCAATCCTTCGTATCTGAATAACACAGCCTGAACTTTACATGGTTATTTTTAGACGCTGGTGTGGGCTGAAGAGAAATTTAAAAGCCTTGGGGCCAGGATTGCTGATCTGTACCTCCTCTTCTGCAGGAGATGGTGTCACCTGGTTAAACTTCATGGGCTGTTTAAGGAATTGTGCTAATGTGAAAAACGTAAGGTGGGGTTCCTATTTTGTGGACTTCAGATGCTGCCGGGGCTATGATCTGTGCAATGAAAAGCTATAGAAGTCGTTGGTCCTTCTGCGGCTCCACAGTCTGGGTGATGCTGTTGCCTCAACCTATCCACAATGACTTCCTAAGGACCACACTGAGGATGAGAATTTCAAACATGTGTCTCCTCTTCTACATGTAAAAGGAAAAGCTGTCTTTTTCTAGAGACACTGTTCTCCTCCAGAAATCAATTAAAAGTAAATAAAACCTTAAGAGCAAGAGTAACACAACCTTGGGTTGTTACTAAACCTAGTTACCTACATTCAACAATGTATAACCAAGTGCTAATAAAAGAAAGAATACTTAGCTTTTGAAAGGTGATCCCTACCTTTTTGCCTTCTTCTCTCCATCTCCTGTGGCAGAATTTGTAAACATTTTATTACCATGCCATAATTATACATTAAAAATATGACACAGCCAGGTGTGGTGGTGCATGCCTTTAATACCTGCTTCCCAGAGGGGGAAGCAGGGGAATCTCTGTGAGACCAAATCTCTGTGAGATCAAGGGCAGCCTGGTGTACATAGCAAGTTCCCGGTCAGCTGGGGCCATAGGGAGATGCTGTCTCAAAAAGTAAAAAAAAAAATACGTATATAATATAAAGTAAAAATGAAAATATGATGTTTTCGTACACATGCGTACTGCACTTTGAGCATATGCACCCCATTACCCTCTTTTGACCTTCTCTACCCCTCTGGTCACCTTCTACTCAACAGGTTCCCATTTTACTCTCATATATTTTTGCCTATGTGTGACCCAATGCAGGAGCATTACGAAAGGCTGTTTACAAGCACCTTACTAATAGCTTTACCACTGAAGAAAATGCTGTTCCTCCTCCCAATAACCATTAAATCTATAAATCCTCAGGAAGGGGTGAGGTCTTCAGAGGTCCTCCCCACATAAGCACAGTTGCTACAGAAAAACAGCATTCCACAACTCTCCACCCCAACCTCAGCTCTTACATTCTTTCTGTCTCTGTTCTGAAATGTTCCCTGAGCCCTGGGGTGGTGGTATAGATGTCCTATTTATGGTTGAGCGTAGGACTTTCTGTTATGACCAGTAAAAGTATCTTCTTCTGCCCATGCCAGAAGACACTTCTCTGACCAAAGCTGACAGAAGCCTTAGTCTATGGGGATAAACACCCTATTCAGAAGGTAAGTTGACTGGCGTATCATGTCCATTTAGCGAAACATCAGCTTTAGCTTCGTTGCTGGGGCCTATGACCTCCCCTTTGTGGCAGGATGTTTTAATCGTTCTTTTTCTTTTTTTCCCCCCTCTGTCTATTCTGTTCTAATTAAGTGATGAAATACTAGCCTCGTGAGGGTGAACAAATGAAAATAAGTTGAGTTTTCTTGAATTTTGTTTATAAATGCCTCTCCCAGACTGAGATAAAGGCTAGGATATTAAAAGGAACGTGTACTAGAGATACAAAGACAAATACAGTCTACCTTCTAAGTAGAAACTATTTTTAGAGCTATGGGCTAGAGATATAGGATTATAGGAGGAATCTCAAGATTCTAGAGCTTCCCTGGCACAGCTTTCCTGGAAAACTCTTAGAGAATGATCACACCTCAGACATGGAAGAGCTGCTTCAAAGGAGCTAGAACCAGCAGCACAGATGTTGCCCTACATGAGGCCCAGCACAGAGGACACTGAAAGCTGTAGGTACCAAGGAAGCTATTTGGGTCTGGCCGATAGACAGCTTACCGACAATTTTATAGAAAGATACCTTGTGACTACATGCTTCTCCCACCCACTTCCATATTGCAAACACTAAGATGTTCTATGATGTATAATTCTAGTACCCTGGGGAAAATGGATTGAAATGAATATGTCACATGGATTGCAGCTAATTCCCAATACTAAGGTAGAATGATCTCTGGAAAGAGTAATAATTCCTATGATGAAAACAAAGAAAGGTACATTTCTACAATACCTATAATTGTTTTCTTTCTCTTCCCCTCCAAACTATCCTTCAATCATTTTAACAAGTACTTATTCAAAACACCATATTATAGCCACTCCTGTGTATGAGACTATGAAAGTCATGATCCCTGTCTTCTCAAGCCTTAGCCTAGTGGAAGAGACAGACATGAACAAATAAATAATGATAATAGCAATCCCTAACTAAGTGGCATCACCAAAAAACTTCATATCACCTCCCTCATGGCCTCTTCGCACAAACCTCAGACTCACACTATCGGTCTCTTTTGGGTCAGGCAGGAAAATGAAATAACACCAGCAATTTTCAAGTTAAGTTTAAGATGAAGAATTATTTTTAAGACACACTACTCTTTACTTAGTTATTTTTACTTTATGTGTATGTGTTTTGCATCCATGTATGTAAATGCACCCATGTGTGCATGCAATGCCTGTGGAGTCAGAAGACGGCATTGAATCCCCTGGAACTGGAGTTAAGGATGGTTGCTAGACACTATGTGGATTCTGGGAACTAAACCCAGGTCCTCTGCAAGAGCAGCCAGTGTTCTTAACCTCTGAACTATCTTTCCAGCACCTAAAAAGAAGACTTAATTGTTAGCCAGACCTTAAAGGATAGAAAAGGTCAAAAGGAGGCATTGATTTAACAGATAGAAATTATAGAAAGTTATTTAAAGATGATGGTGTGAGTCTATAAATGAGAGACCCTCAAACTCTCCACAAGCAAACTCCTAGATCTGATAAACCCTTTCAGCAAAGTTGCATAACACAAAACCAACTTAGAAAACTCGGTCCCCTTTCTGCATATCAATGACAACCATGCTGAGAAAGATATCATGGAAATTCTCCCAAAAAATCCATCTAGGAATAAATGTAACCAAGGAGGTGAAAGGTCCCCACAATGAAAACTTTAAATATCAGGAAGAAAAAAATTTGAGAAAGACACTAGAAATTGGTCAGATCTCCCATGTTCATAAACTGGTAGAATTAATATTATGAAAATGACCATCTCACCAAAATCAATTTACAGATTCAAAATCCCATGAACATTCTTCATGGAAATAGAAAAAAAAAAGTCCTAAAATTTCATAGTGAAGCAAAAAAGACCCATGATAGTCAAAACAATCTTCAACAAAATAAGCAATTCTAGAGGGATTGCCATATCAGATTTCAAACTATATTATAGAACTATAGTAATAACAACAGCATGGCATAAAAACAGATATGCATCAATGGAACAAAAATAGAAAAACCAAACATGAGTGCATGTAATTTTAGCCACCTGATATTTTACAAAGATACCAAAATCACTCACGAAAGACAGCATCTTAAACAAATGGTGCCAGAAAACCTGGATGTCCACATGTAGAAGAATTAAGTTGGACTCACATCTATCACACTACACAAAATTCAAGTACAAATAAGTCTAAGGACTCAATGTGAAACTTGAAATTCTGAAACTACTAAAATAAATCATAAGCAGTACCTTGTAAGACACCACTTGCTCAGGAATTAAGGCTAGCAGCTGACAAACGAAACCTCATGAAACTAAAAACCTCTGCACAGCAAAGGAAAAAAAAAATCCAATGAAGATGAAGCCCAAGGAATGGGAGAAAATATTTTCCAGCTATATATCCAGAATATATAAAGAACTCAAAAACCAAAGGAGAAAACAAATGACCCAGATTAAAAATGGGCTATAAATCTGAACAGAGAGTTCTCGAAAAGGAGAAATTAAAATGGCTAAGAAATATTTTAAGATGTGTTCAACATCTTTAGCAATCTGGGGAATGCTAAATAAAACTACTCTAAGATTTAATCTTACCCTAGTCAGAATGGCTAAGATTTAAAAAAAAACTGACAAATGCTGACAAAGAAACGGGGGAAAGAGAACCCTCGCCCACTGCTGTTGGGACGTCATATTGAAGTCATAATGGAAACAAGTGTGGCAAATTCTCAAAAAGCTAAAAGTAGAACTTCCATATGACCCAGCTATACCACCCCTTACCATGTACCCAAAGGATGCAATGTCCTACTATGGATTACCTGCTCAGCCATGTATAATAGATATTTCCACTCTTCACAAAAGAAATGGAAGCAACCCAAATAGCCTTCAACTGATGAATGGTAATTTTAAAAAGTGGCACATATACACAATGAAGTTCTAGTTAATCATAAATAAAAGTGAAATTTGCAGATAAGTGGATGGAACTGTACACTGAGTGATGTCACTCAGACACAGAAAGACCGGTGTCATATGTTTTCTCTTATTTGTGGATCCTGGTTCTGGATATTCAGAAGTGAGTATATAACCTTCAGTAACCATAGAAGCCAAAAACACAGAAAGAGACCATGGGGTAAGAATGGAGAAGGAGCTCTATAAAGGGCACTAGTAGAACCCAGGGCTAGTACCAAGGAGGAAATACAAAGGATATTTAATTGGGGAGAGGGAGGGACAGTCATATAGGGAAAGAAATAAATAACACTAAGAATGTTTGAAAAACATAGGGAAACATTATTTTATAAGCATACTTTATAATACCAATTATAGATTGTGTGTGTGTGTGTGTGTGTGTGTGTGTGTGTACACACATACATTTCAAATGCAGTTATGCCACACTGGGTGATAATACTCCCTCCCATGAACTGTAGACTAACAAAAATGCCAATGCTAGGTATGACAAACCGCCTTTTGTGCTGTTAGTCAGTGTAGTTGAAGAGATTCCCAAATAAAGGCTATTGCCATTTCCCTTGGTTGCCTCCCAGAACTTGAAATTAAGACCTTATTGCTGAAGTCATTACACACCTCAGGCACAGGACTTGGAGGCTGAAACTGACCTGGAAGCCTCATTGCTGAGGAACATCTTTCATAGTCTCAGAAGGTGTTATATAGACTGCCAAGGGTAAAAAGCAATCAGTAGTCCCACCCAGCTGTAAAACCTATGAAGTATAAGGACCATCCCAAGAAATGGTACAATAGTGGCACTTTTATCTTGGAGGCAAATAACAGCTGTCTAATTGGACTTCAAGCCCACTCAATAGAAGGAAATTCATGCCTGGTAGAGTAAACCTTGACAAT